ATCCAGCTATACCACTCCTAGGCATATATCCAAAAGAGGCTCAAGTACACAACAAGGACATTTGTTCAACCATGTTTGTAGAAGCTTTATTCGTAATAGCCAGAACCTGGAAACAACCCAGATGTCCCTCAGTTGAGGAATGGATACAGAAATTGTGGTACTTTTACACAATGGAATACTACTCAGCAACTAAAAACAAGGAAATCATGAAATTTGCAGGCAAATGGCGGGAACTAGAAACGATCATCCTTTGTGAGGTATCCCAAAAGCAGAAAAACACATATGGTATATACTCACTTATATAGACCTATAAGATAGGATAAATATACTGAAATCTATCCACCTAAAGAAGATAAACAAGAACAAGGACCCTGGGTACGATGATCAATCCTAACTTAGAAAGACAAATGGGATGGACATTGGATGTAGGAGCAAACAAGTAACAGGACAGGAACCTACCACAGAGGGCCTCTGAAAGACTCTACCTAGCAGTGTATCAAAGCAGATATTAAGACTCATAACCAAACCTATGGCAGAATGCAGGGAATCAAAAAAGGGGGGGGGAGTTAATACGACCTTGAGAGGACAGGACTTCCAAAAGGACCAAATATATCTGAGCACAGGGGTCTTTTATGAGTCTGTTTCTCCAAACAAGGACCATGTATGGTTGCAACCTAGAGCCCCTGCTCAGATGTAGCCCTTGGTAGCTCAGTATCCAAGTGGGTACCCTAATAAGGGGAACAGGGACTGTTTCTGACATGAACTCGATAGCTGGCTCCTTGACACACACCCCCTCCAGGGAGGAGCAGACTTGCTAGGCCACAGAGGAGGACTTTGCAGCCAGTCCTGAAGACACCTGATAAACCAGTATCAGATGTAAGGGGAGGAGGTTCTCCCTTATCAGTGGACTTGGAAAGGAGCAGGGAGGAGATGAGGGTGGGAGGGTGGGATTGGGAGGGAAAGAGGGAGTGGGATACAGAGTTAACAAACTGTAACTAATATTAAAAAAATAAACATTAAAAACATAATCACAACATTCACCCTTCCATCTCCTCCTCTAGCCCTTCCAGTTAACCTCTCCATCCTACTCCTTTTCAAATTAGTGGCCTCTTAATCTTTATATATATTCTAAGTCCACTGAATTTTGTTTGTTTGTATACTTCTTAGGACTGACTGTTTGGGGTTAGATTACCATTTTGGGGGACTCATGTCCAAGGAAAACTAATTCTCCCTATCTGAATAGTGTTTAATCATCTGTAGCTCTTCATTTAGGGATGTAAACCTAGGCCTCATATGATTTCTTTCATCTGTGTTGGCATATCAGCTGATGTTATCATTGTTCAGGGACTGGTGTTATCATTGATAAGACCTTGTTTCAGTGGCCATACTGTTGGGATTTCATGAACACAGCTTTCCTGTCATAACAAGGAGGCACAACCTCTGTAGCAGACTTTCTGATCACCTATCTCTTACACTCTTTCTACCCCTTCTTCCATAAAGTTGTAAGGTTGTATTGTAGATGTATCAGCTGAGGCAAATCACCCCACCATCAGCCATTCGTTGCATTTGGTCAGTGTGGCTTTCTTTCATGGTCTCAATCTGCCGCTACAGAAGCTAGTTCTGTGAGAGGTGAGAGCAATGCTTCTCTGTAGGTATAAGGAGAAGTATTTTGCAGTTAGCACTTTTACTGCTAGGAAATTTGCACTTGAAGGCTCTCCTCTGAGATTTAGGATCTCATTAGTCACTGGTGATTGGCTAAGTTTACACTACCCAGGCATGACTTCCTCTCTGGTGAGCAGGCCTTTGATCCAATGAGACAGCTTTAGTTAACACCAAGATATAAATGCCACTATGAGACCTTTAGATATATCTTGCCATGCTGAACACTCTTGTGGTTCATAGCTTGATAGCTGGGTAAGACTATTAAATGTTATTCCACCATTGACAGCAGCTCAGACATGTTGCCATTGGGTCTGTGGCAAGTATATCCTGATGGGGAATATATAGCAGAAGAAGCTGTTCATATAATGGTGCAGAAATGGGGGATGAGGGAGACAGAAAAGAGGAAGAGGGAAAGAAGAAGGTGAATAAGATGAAGAAGGAGAGCCTCTGAGTCCCAACATTTTTGAGAGCATGTTGGCACTGACCTAGTACCACAGCACCATGAGCTATGAGCCAAGCCTTTCCATACATGAGCCTTTGGCACCTGAAACAGCCAAATCATAACAATGGTCTGTCTATGTGATGAAGTCAGTCTGGGCTCCCACTAGCAAATGCCAGATTCTAGGACAGCGCCTTTTCTGGGATGGTTGCATTATGACCTTTTCAGTGTGTTTACCATAAAAAGACAAGAAGTATCTTTATTTTTCTGTAATGTTGTATATCTATTTCATGTAAATTGAAACATTCTCTAAGAGGTGGAGACTCATTAAGACTCAGAAAATCAATAAAGCTCACAAGACCTTGAAAGCAACAAAACTCCCAAGTCTTATAAAGGTCCTGAAACTTACAGGATTCACAAGGTGTGCGTGTGTGTGTGTGTGTGTGTGTGTGTGTGTGTGTGTGTGTGTGTGTGCTTACATAAGCACTAACAATTGCTAGGGAAAAGAGGCTTTCTGACTCGTCAAGCTGCTTCAGTGTCATGCAGGGAGGTTCAGCAACATAGTGTTCATGATTGCCATCAATCATGAGGTGAGCTAGTCAGTGATACAGTTGCCTTTGAGTAACTCATATTCATGAATAGCCATCCACTACTATTTCTCTAAGTAACCTGAATAAACTCATTGGTTAACTAAGCTAGACATGGGTAGGATTGTTCCTTTGCTTTGTCATCAGTGCCTTATCTGGGTGAAGAGATGTTTGTTCCAACCTCAAAAAAAGCCACATAACATACGTCCATCATTACATTTCACATCTTTACATGTCAGCAACATTGTGCTGTGACATCTATCATCTGGTTATTGCTCTGTGTTATCTTCAGTGAAAAATACAGAACCTGAGATAAAAACCTTCAACTGATATCTATCTTTTGTTTCTCTGAGAATTATATTCACTGAATTGCTGATTTTTAAGGAGGAAGAAACATGACCAATAAAACATTTGTCTAGCAACTGCAGCACTTAGAAAAAAAATGGCTGTCTATGTCCTCTCTATGCATGGTCTTTGGTTGATGCATCAGTCTCTACTGTCACCCCTGGGCCCAACTTTCTTTGGCTTTGTTGGTCTCCTTGTGTGGCTCCTGTCCCCTCCAGGTACTTCTATATGCCTCTTATTCCATAAAGACTCCCTGTGCTCTGTTCAAAGTTTGACTGTGAGTCTCTGCATCAGCTTCTATCCCCTGCTGGGTGGAGTCTTTCAGAGAAGTTCTGTGGTAGGCTCCCATCCTGTTCCCTTTCTTCTACTGCTTCCAGTGTATATCCCATTTTCCCTTCTGAATGAGAATTAAGCATCTTCCTTAGGGTCCTCTTTGTTGTTTAGCTACTTTAGTCTGTAGATTTTAGTATGTTTATCCTATATTATATGGCTAATATCCACTTATAAGTGAATATATACCATGCGTGTCTTTCCGCTCAGATGTAGCCCATAGATACCTCAGTATCCATGCGGATTCCCTAGTAAGGGTTGAAGAGAAGAGACAATCTCTGACATGAACTCGGTTGCCTGCTTCTTGATCACTTCTCCCTGGTGGGGCAACCTAGCCAGCCCACAAAGGAAGAGGATCCAGGCAGACCTGAAGGGACCTGATAGGCTTGGGCCATACAGTAGGGGAGGAAGATGTCCCCTATCAGTAGACTAGGGAAGAGAGATAGGGGAGGAAGAGGGAAGAAGGTTGGGACTGAGAGGAGATGAGAGATGGGGCTACAACCGGGATACAAAGTGAAAAAAAAATTGTAAATAATAATAATGAAATAAATTCCTCTGTTGAGATAAAAAAAAAAAGAAGTGGTTGTGAATGCTCAGGCCCAAGCATATCATCTGTGCCATGCCCTTCCGAGGCTTGGCAAGCCCTTTAGGAGAAAAGACAGAAAGAGTGTAAGAGTTGAAGAATGAGGAGGAGCACCACGAAACATGTCTCCTGGACATGTCATAGTCATTGCCCTCAGATAGTCGCTGCAGCTGTGACTACCTGCGCAAGTGATGAATATAGCCACGTCCATCAACATTTCATCACAAATGGGGAAGGGGCAGGGAAGACAAGCTTGCGGAGGAACTGTGTTGATAATGAATGGTGGCCATGGAGGTGGGTGCCGCTTTGTTCAGTAGGGTAGCCTCTGCTAAGTTACCCAGCCTCTCACCTCTACTTCCACACGCAAGCAACCCCCATTTAAACTCAGCGGGTCACAAAGCAGAGATCAGTGCCGGAGGAGGAATTAGCAGGAAGAAGAAAGGTTCTCATGGAAGACGGAGGAGAATGAGGGAAAGAGTAGTGATGGGGGATGAAAAATGATCAAAATTCATTATGAACATGCAAATTGTCAAAAATAATTTCAGAAAAAATAAAAACAAAAAAGAGAATATTTCATGAATAGGAAAGTTCCTCCCTCAGCTAATAACTGATGAAGTGCATTCCATCTTCAAAGAGTTTAAAGCATTGTGTCCATTTATTATGATTAATGTAGAATCTGGAGTTGATTCATACTACTACATTTAGACATGCAGGGAATTTATACTTAAAGATGAGCTAAAGAAGGGCCCCTTGATCCAATTTGCAGTGATCATCCACAGTCTCACGCATATAGAAAAATCAAAATCATCTAGCTCTTCTCTGCTAACTCAATCACATCACTCAGTACTCAGATGCGGACTCAAAGATGGAAAATTCAGAAAAGTACTGGTGTAAGTGTATCTTTCACATGACTGCCCTGAGCTTGGGCTCACTAGTTCACAGGATGAGTCTGAAGTGATGGTAGGCCTGCTTTACAGATGAACAAAGGCTGAGATGCACACTCTTGGCCTCTATATTTCTTGTCTACCTCTGAGGCCTCCACAGTGTCCTCTGTCTATGGAGAAGCAAACTTGCCAGCAAATAAAATGTTGGCAAGCTCATCCCAGATAAAGAACAGGAAAGGACGATTGGCTGTGAACTGAACTGCAACAGGGAGCCGTTTCACAGCAATACTCTCCCCAGTGGCTGCCGCCGCCTCTGTGCCCTCTTCGTTGACATCCACGCATGACTTGTGAACAACCTTAGATAAGTAGAGGCCCTTGTCTGGTGACATTCCAGAAAGATCCGCTCTGGCCACGTTGAAGATGTCCCTCACGCCTAGGGATTTCAATAGGGCATTTAGGTCGTATTTTACTGAAAGATTGAATTTGGGGATGTGAACTTCCACTTCTCTTTCCACCATGTTAGGAGGGCTGGTCCACTCTTTAAGCATCTTCACATTCAGCTGTTTTTCTATCTAAGAAACGAAACACAGATGAGCACATGTGAGTCAAATACAAGGCCTGAGTGTAGATGTTTCTGTACTTCCCACTGTGAATGGTTCGGCTTCATTGCTGGCTTGTCAACCTCTAATGCTCAGGTGCCACCTATCTATGCGTTTAGCCACATCATTTTCCCTTTCTGTTGCTGACCTTTCCTCTATATTCCCTCAATGACTTTCTCAGTGTACATTCTATAATTCCCTCAGAATTTAGCCTCTACCTAAAGTTCTCTGTTCATTGCTCCTGTCATCATTTTGTGCCTGCTGCCTGAATCAATCCAACCAGATTGGTCCTCACATCTGAAATTTTGAGGCACATCTCTATGAACTTAGTTCTCATTTGACTTCTAAGATGCCTTTGTCCCACTCTTGATGATGTCAATATCCCCAAGTCCTCACACTCGCTGTGATGTAACTTAGGAGGCTGAACATGGCATGCTTGCCTGATGCTTTTGTGTTTCTGACTGGCATTTCAACTTCCACATATGTACTTAGATTTCTCAAATGCTCCCAGAAACTGACTTCTCATCATGAAAATAAAGCTTCAACATTTTTGTCTGTTATTTAAATGCTACACTTGGGTGTCTCATACCCTATAGCACCAAACTACAGACTCTGTCATTTTCATTGTTATCGTGTCCCAAATATTTTATTACCTTCCTACTCTCATGAACAATATTATAAGATAAAAGCAGATTTTCTGTCAATGAATCTTTTTATCATTTCAAATTGTTAGTTCTAATGCATGTCACCTGATGATGAAAGTAAACCCATCGCAGCTGCCTCACACTTCACACACTCACATGGGCTCTTCCTAGGTCAAGAGGGCATCGTCTCCCCACCCACATCTGGTAAAGCCCACATGGAGGTAATTCCCTAGGGGCGCCACCCCAGCTTTCTCCTTCTAATCTATGCATTTTGTAGTCTGCACATTACTTGATGTGAAGACTAATCTGCTTCCAAGTTGCTAAATTTCTCCACCATCTTCTACCCCAGCTGACCACAAGCCCCCAGGGTAATCTTAATCCCCTCTGAACTAACCACTCGTGTAAACATACTTGTTCCCACAGTGATAGCTATATGTCTCCTTGCTACAGCTCCCTCTGAACTGGTACCCATCCCACTCCCTAATCCAAATGCACACAGCCCAGCCCTGCTTTTTCAGGAATACCTCCCCACACACCGGTGCCAGTTGTTTATAACTAAAGCTAGCAAGCCCTGACTTAAGACACTGGCTTACTTGATAACCCTGACTGTGGCCATCCTGCTGTGTGGATCAGCTTCTGATGGATCCCAGAGGCACAGTTCTCGGCCTAAGAAACTTCAGGGGTGTTTTGAGGTACCGGCTAAGTGGTTGCTAGGTTGGGGTTACATGGTGCCTGTAATCTCTTCTAGGATTCTCTGTGCTAAGAACCTTTGGCTACAACCAGAAACAGGGGACTGAACCCAAATTCCTGTCACCACTATGATCTTTCCTTCCTCGTTGTGGTGCTATTTCTTTACAAAATCAGAACGTTAAAAATGGTTGTCCTTTTAGCATATCCTCTGGTTAGATCAGAAAACTGCCCCTTAGAGTAACAAGGCTTCACGAGCCCTCTGGGATCCGATCAGTACTACGTGTCATCACCGGAGCACAAGGTCCACCAAGTGTCTCATGAGCCATGCCCGTGTGTGCGTTTACATTGTATAACGTGGTGAGCCTACACGTCTTTTTCAGTGAACAAAGCGCTGCTCCTATAGGGCAGGGATCGTGCTCCACCCTTAGCCAGCAGGGGAAAGGCCACTAAGTCAAGACATTACCGAGTGACTGACTTAAGAGACAGCACCAGGACACACAGAGCATGAGTGTCAGAGTGCACGCCCACAGGCATGCACACGTGCAAGGGCAAGCATGCACATTAGCTGAGAGCTGGCATTGCCAGGCATTTACCTGCTGTACACCAGCAGCACCCCCTGGAAGCAGGATGACCATTCTTAGTTTGCTGTTGGCGTAGGGGAGCTCAAGAACTTGCATCTGCGGCTCCTTTATGGAGGCCATCTTAAATGTTCCAGTCTGATGCATCATGTCCACCACTGTGCTTTCACCCTGTTTTTAAAAAGATGATAATTGAATTGTACAGTCACACGGGAGTGGATATGCGGGTACACTTTGTTTTCCAGCGTGAACACCATACTATCACTGTAAAGCAAAACATTAATTACTAATTAGACTTTTCGTCGCATTCCTCTGCTTGGGTTATCAATTTTCTAATCTTAAAATAAGTCAAAGTTAGAGACTGAAGAACTATAATAATACAGAGATGATTTGCATCTTTTAATTACAACACCAGAGAGTCTCTAGTGGGAAATCAAATGACAGGCCTGTCAACTCTTTTAAGACAGTATGTGGATACTGTCTTAACAAAAGCATAGCTTTATCCACCATCATAGGAAGTAACCACAGTGCAAACATGGAGACTTGGGGAACTGAACACAGAAAAAAAAAAGAGGTTTCCGCCCTTTTGGGACATCTCTGTCCAGGCTCATGTCTGCTGAGAAAGGTACTATCATTTCAAGAATTAAAGCCTTCAGCAACCTACAGCAAGGTCTTCATGAAATATTTCTGAATTGTCCTTAACTTAATATTACGTTTTCCAAAACTTGGCATCATCCTGAAAATGAAATACTTACCCCACTTATGTGAAATGGAGCTTTCACTGTCTCTCTTTTCTGGAACTTATTTTGCCATTGTCCCTTGAAATATATGGCACTCACCAGGACCAGGACAGAGGATGGATCAATTGTACCCTTTCCAAATAAGTTTCTGACTTTTCCTTGTAGTGAAACAAACAAAAGAAGATATCATTTTACTTGGATTAGCTTGTTGATAATAGATAATTATGTAGGGTTTTTTTCAGACACTAATTTTAATTTGAGGGTTTCAGCAGAACTCCCATTCCTCATTCTAGAGCCTTCCCTGTCACAGGAACTTCCGAGCTTGGAATCAATACCTTATGGGTGACTCAGTTTGTCCTATACCTGCTCATATCTAACACACTAATGTCCATTATTATTTATAGAATTCTTTATTAACATCCATAGCTTATCTTTAAAAGATCCCAGCCAGGAGAACAAAAATGTCTTAAAGGCACAATGGTTCTCAACCTGTGGGTCATAACCCCTTTGGGAGTCATGTATCAGATACCCTGCATGTTAGAAACTTACATTATGATTCACTACAGCAAAACTGCACTTATGAAGTAGCAATGAAATAATTTTATGGTTCCAAAAATAATACAGTTCCACAACATGAGGCACTGCATAAAAGGGTCATGGCACTAGGGAGGTTGAGAACCACTGGCTTAGCAGGACAAAGAACTTACTACCTAAGACTTCTGTTCCATCAAAAGAATCCAAAGTAGAAGCAGAAAACTGACTCCCAGTTGTTCTCTGATCTCTATGAAAGCACTGTGGCCCTTGCACCTGCACACACACACACACACACACACACACACACACACACACATGCTCACATGAAAGGACTTCGAATGAATCATGTATGTGTGTGTGCATGTGTGAGTGTATCTGTGTGTATACATGTAGAAGTCAGAAATCAAAAGCGGATGGCATACCTCAATTGCTCTCTGCCTTGTTCTTTGAGACAAGGTCTCTTAATGACCCGGAGTTGCCAGTTAGGCTGGGATGAGTAACCAGTCAGCCCCAAAGCTCTTCCCTTCTCGGCTTGCATCATCACACATCACACATCCATGACTTTTTCTATACATGTTCCTAGGCCTCAGACTCAGGGTCTACTGCTCATGCAGCAAGCTCTTTGCTGACTGGCTCTCTCTCCCAGCCCTGCTTATTTAATTGTTTTAGTTGTCTGCTTGTGTTTATGGTAGTGGCTTTTAATTATTTTCATTTAAAAAAATTGACAGTTTCATACACATACAACGAATTTTTTTTTCTCACTGTTTTGCACCCCTTCATTCCTTCTCCCTCTCTCACTAAAATGACATTTATACTCAATAAGTCTCTTTTCTATTTTGCTGGCTTTGGGCATGTGACCCACTGATTTTAACAGGGTTGTCTTCATAGTAGTCTCTGTGGCCTAGGCTCCCTGTGTAGATTAGGCTGTCCTAGGGCTCACTGTTTAGACCAGCTTTCTAGAGCTTGCTGTGTAGACCAGGCTATCCCGGAGCTCGCTGTGTAAAATAGGCTATCTTGGAGCTTGCTGTGTAGACCAGGCTATCCTGGACCTCACAGTGTAGAACAGGCTGTCCTGGAGCTAGCTGTGTGACCAGGCTATCCTGGAGCTCGCTGTGTAGAACAGGCTGTCCTGGAGCTTGCTGTGTAGACCAGGCTGACTTGGAGCTTGCAGATGAGGCTTTTAGAATTGCACTGATAGTCCTCTTGCCTCTTCATCCATATGCTGGGGCTACAGGCACACACCTCACTCTGGTCCCTTGTGTTCACAGAGGACGAGAACTAGTACATTACAAATGTAATGATCAGTTAAAGCAAAGGCATAGTTGAAACCAAGCATTTGTTTGGAATGTACCAGAAAATGTCTGTTTCATAAATATTCTGACCAGAGCTAAACATGCAGCTGTCTTGGTGCCTTTCAGTGCATTGCAACATAGAAATTCTTTTGGAATGTAGCCTGTCACTGGACTTGAAGCACAAGAAGGCCGAATAACCCAACTCGATTCCTATTGAATGTTTTACTTTTCATTATAATCCTGAGCCTACACCATAACTAGCATGTTACAACAATAAATAGGCACCAATGCCTAAAAACATAGAAAATATGTTTCTAAATGAGGGAGTGAGTTAATTTTAATAAAAATTGCTGAATTTATAACATTTCTTTAATGTTGAAGTGGTGTTCACATTCTTTCTCACAGTCTCTTGGCATAGATTGCCTAGGAGAGATGATTGTAAGATAGAGTCCAAAGTATGACTCCAGTTCTTTCACTGCTTTCTACCTACCAGCTTTTAGACTTCACACTAGTTAACTTCTGCTTCCTTGTTAGCCTAGCAAATCAAGACTTTTATCAATGGAGCACAAAGCTTGCACACACACAAATACACATTAAAGTTTGTACACATACAGATACACACACACACACACACACACACACACACGCAAACACACACTTATCCTTACCATTAGTTTTATTTTCAACCCAAGCATTAATAGTTTTCCTTGTTTCTTCTGTAGATAGTTCAAAATCAACACTTTGCAGTTTGGCTTGGTACAGTTTCTCAGAACACCTTAAATATTGCTGTAAAAGAAAGGACAACTGACATTTCGCACAAAACAATGCAAAGAGGGGTCTGGGAAGATGGCCCCTATGCTATCCAATGTGAGGAGCTGAGTTTGCATCCCAGACCCATGTAAACACCAAGTGTGTGGCACAGACCTGTAACCCCAGTTCTCCTGTGAAGAGATGGAGAGCAGAGACAGGGGAGCCTGGAAGCTGGGGAGTGAAGAGCTTGGCATAAGCAGTGGTGAGTAGCAAGGAAAAGACCTTGTTTTAGAAAAAGTGGAAAGAAAGAACTGATACTCAAAGCTATCCTCTGACCGCCATATAGACATGTGCCTCAAGTCCCCGCTCTTACAGTAACACACACACACACACCACAAGAAAAGTAACACAGAGACAAAAATTTGTTGATGTCATGAACTAAAAAGAAGGAATTAACTGTGAGTACTTCTCTTTAAATCCAAAATATTTTTAAAAAAAGAAAAATGTCCAGAAATGTTTAGCTGTTTTTCCATTATGTCACAAGCTTTCTTACATGAGTGTGTTCAACTTAAAATGATGAATTTCATACAATGAGTACCTTTTTGTCCATCTCTCTGCTTTCCTCTTCAACGTAAAAAAAAAAAAAAAGAAAAGAAAGAAAGAAAAACAGAGTGTTAAAAGAAAAATTGGTGTGTATAATGACTAAATGACTTCCTCCTTACCTTAAGAACAAATTCAAAACCACCACTCCAAATCAACCTTTATCTACTGTGGTGTCTGGGCCACTGCGTGGGAGAGGCAAAGAGAAAAGAAAGTATACCAGCTCAAAGAAAGTGGTCCTTGACTTCTGTCACATCAGGCACTCAACATAACACATTTTTGTGAGCTTCTGTCACAGTAGAAGGAAGACTCTCAGAATTTTTAGGTAGTACCAAGGTGGTCCACCCACCCTAGATTCAAAAATTCTATCAGAGATCTGTGACAGCTAAGGCAACTTAAACCACCAGACTGGGAAAGACAACAGAAATTCTTGACACTTCAGTCATCACGGTCATACAGAGAACAAGGACACCATCATCTCATGTCAGTGACATCAAGAAGGCCTGAGTTTGGATAAGGATCAAATCTAAATATTGGTAATTACCTCTGTGACCTCTGTAAACTGAAAATTTCGGAATCTGTTTTATAGTTCGCTAGAACTAGTGGAAAGTTTGTATCTTTGCCATAGCACAATGAAATGATTGTCTGACATAACGCCCATGATGAGCTCAGCAGTGAGTGAACTGGGGATTAAATAAAGGTTCAATGAAACTGCACACTACAATGCTGGTGGGTAAGGGTTGACATCTATCTCCAAATCTGGAGCTAGAAATAAATCTAATCCTCTTATTTTAAAGATAGAAGTGACTTATGCCATGTCATATGTATAAATGTAAACAAGACTCGTCTCTTGGCTCCTAGTTGAATGTAATTTCCACTACCTCTTGATGCTTACCTATCTATCATCGGCCTTTGTAAAGATGAGGCTTTTCTCTTTTCTTTTCATCCTTAAAGAGCAATTCCTACCGATGATTTCATTTTGTGCTTTCTCTCTGACCTTACTTCTTGCACAGGTTTAGGGATTTTGCAGAGAAAGGAATTTTCATATGATATTACAGAACTCTAAGTGGGAATGTTGATAAAGCCATGTCTCAAAACTCCAGGCTTAAATTCAACATTAGAGAACACCGTAAGCTCTCCTCACTCTCCCTCGACTTTATATTATGAAATTCAGAGAGTATCCGGTGTGCTCACCTTGTGGAATGTTATCGCCTTCGACCCATAGATCCGGTTAGCCATGCTGAGGGAGTTGTGTTGGTTGATCTGAGACAGCAGGGTTCGGAACTCACGATGCATCCTTGCACCTTGGCTGCACTGGGAGCAGTGGAAAGAGAAGACAAGCCGTTGGTTTCTTGCCGCTGAAGAGTCAGACATGACAAAAAGCAATATCTGCAGGGCAATGTCTTTGCCTTCCGATAAACAGCAGTGAACACAAGGAGGTGAACTGTGCAAGCATCTTACTCGATTTCCTTTAGCAAGATGATCTCAGTGAACTGTGCTCACACTCCTGTGTACTTCCTTGCTGATCCTAAGCGTTTAATCCAAAAGCTTATGTTTTCGTGAACAAAGAGATTACGATGCAAGTTCCGCAGCTGCCTTTGTTTTATATTTCTTTTTTAAATGCTCAGTCTTTTGATTCTTTTTTTTTAATTTTATATTTTGAGTTTGTTACTTGTGTTCTATGCACTGTGGTCACGTGCCCTCCTCACTTTCATCCCTTAACACCCTCAGATTCTTGTTGACTTTTTCTTCTTAACTAGCGGATGTGTTATTTCTAGGTAGGCTGGCTTGAACTCATTATGTATACCAGTCTGGCATGGAACTTAACAGTCCTCCTGCCTCTCCCTCGTAGGTGCTGAGAACACAGGCATGAAGCAGCACACCCAACCAAATCCTCAGTTTTTAAATGACTACTTAAATACTTCAGCCTTCACTAACAAGATTTAGTACATTAACTTGTTTTGTTCAGCAGCAGTTCTAAATTTGAAACTGTATTATACATACGAATGATGACTAAGAATTCATAAATGCCAAAGAGACAATGCCGCATTTCCTAAATACTGGTTCATAATAAGTAGGATCTCTGAGATGTTTTCCTGTCTGTGTGTGTGTGTGCATGCACATTTATCCATATACCCAAGCACTCTTAAAATTATTATCATGTGAGAATTCTAAGCGAGTGAATACTCCTTTGAGAGTGTCTAGGAACCATTCTCTCAGAGCATGCGTATGTGGCTACATCAGGGACAGTATGTAATTAAATGGCGATCATTTCTCAGTAGAATAACAAAACAGCACTGCACAGGTGAATCTGGAAGAGTCAACAGCAGACGGGGCCCAGAACAAAAAAGTATGAATGAAGATGACAATGAACAGATGAAAATTTGGACACACAGGTTTTATCGTTGCTGCTATCATTGCATGTGTTCAATTAAATACTCTGCAGTTGCTACGGGGAAGATGAGCATAGTACAGTATGGCAGAACTTGCTTTCTCATAACCTCAAGACAGGACTCCGCTACTCCACAGCTGAATTGTGGCCTCTCCATGTGTAATGTTCAGAGTACCTGACATCTCGGCAATGGCATCATCTTACCTCAGAAGAATTTTTCATCATTGGCTTTAAGAATTTTGAAAAGTTGTCATAGTGGAGCACCTAGGAAAAGAAAAGGCACCAATTGGCTGCAAAAGTAACGTACAGTCTGTAAAATCTGAGAGCTGTAGTCATTCTTCCATTTCAGATCAAGACCAGTATCAATAGAAAACATCTAATAATATTATGTTTCAGGTCTTGAGTTAAGTATCCAGCTGTCTTCTTTAACCCTCCCCCACACCTCCACAAGTAAATACTATGACCTTCATTTCATGTGCTCCATTGACTTGCATTGAACTCTGATATTTAAAACTGTTTTCCTTTCTAACAATATGGCAGGTGAACACAGTGGTGCACACCTGTTACCCCAGCACTCAGGAGGCAGGAGGATCTCTGTGATTCGGAGGCTGGCCTGGTCTACAAAGTAAGTCCAGGACAGCCAAGGCTACACAGAGAAACCCTGTCTCAAAAAACCAAAACCAAAAAAAAAAAGGAAAAGAAATAACGAAATACATCTTAACTGAGTATGCCTTTTCATTACACAAGATAGTATTTTTCAATATAAATGGCTGAAGTTTGGCAGACAATAGAGAACACGTGAAAAATGTCAGGATTCTGGAGTGGTTCTATTTCAGGACTTACCTTTTCCATTTGCTCAGCACTCTTTCCTCTGGCTCCCAGAAGGATCATGCTTAGAGCATAATACACAGTGAGTGAGGAAAAGAAGATGTTTTCACCCACATTGTTACTGTTCAGCTCTTTGAACACATCAAGGCAGAATTCAGCATTTGCGGTAATGATGGGGTTCATTCTTATGCCAAACAAAGCCTAAGAATAGAGCAGAAATAATTCTGTCCTTGTGCGGTTACTTCCAATCCTTTAAGATACCTCCTTTCCTGGAATTTGTGTACAGAATGTTTACGCTACACAGACTCAAACAATCGTTTTCCCACCAAACTGCTCATATTCGTAGCCTCATGGAAAGAGAGTATCGCCTTTCCACACAGTTTTGTACAAGCAACCTGACACTTGCCACAGTTTTATCCTTTTCCCGGCCCTCTTCCAAGAATGTGAAGCAAAGCCAGGAAGGTGACCAGAGCTCTCCACCCAGTCAGAGCCATAGCATGAGTAAAAATTAAGGAACGGAAGAGAAAAACCTGAGAGAAGGAAAGATGATGCTGGAGCATGTGTTATTTTAGGGAAAGAGCATGCTGGGAAAATTCTGTCCTACAAACATGGATAGAGCACCACAAAGAGCGGAGAGCTGTAGAAAGAGCAATCATCAAGAGTAGCTCCTGGCAACCAGGAGACTTTATTCCTCAAGGGCTCCTTGCCAACAAACATTTCTTTGCTTTGTCTTCCTGGTAGTGACTCCCTTTTAATCCTTTGCCTGACTCCTTGGTAACCCCTCACTCTCACATTCTCCATTGCTAACATCTGCTCATCATAATTCATCAAAATTCAGACCTGAGTCTTATCAGCCTTTACACCCACACCCCAGGTGACATCATCCCATATCATAGTCAATTATCATCAACACACTGATAGGTCTTTGTTATAATTTGAATATAAAATATGCCCCGTGGGCTCATAAACTAAACAGCTAGTCTCAAGCTGGTGGGACTATTTTGAGAGTTTCTGGAAATGTTAGTTAGGTTCCTTCCTAACTAGGTCACTAAGTGAACACACTTGGGCCCATTCATTTTCTCTCCCTCTCTCTTTCCCTCCATCCTTTTTTCCCTCTATAACCTATTCCACCATTCCATCATGTTAGACTGAGCTTTCTGAGACTACAAGCCAAATGAAACCCTTTCTAACCTTTGTTTTCCCAGATGTTTGGTTACAGCAAACCTAATCTGACTCTTGAATTTATCCTGCTTCCCAATCCTAAACCCACATATCCAACCACACACTCAACATCTTCTTTTACATGGCCAATGGGTCTTTCACACCCACTCCTCTACCTTGCCTCCTTCAAAACAGCTTTCTTCATTTCTCTAACTCCTAATTCTACTTTTTTTTATTTCTTAGGCTAATAACCTCAAGGTTATCCTTTAATGTATTCTTATTCTTTTTTACCTTCAATCTATGAAAATATCTATTCCCTCTACTTTCAAAAATTCTCAAAGTCACCCTTTCTGGTTTTACCATTTTGGTAAATGCTTCCCTCCTTCCACTCTAAGTATTGAAACACTTTCCACACCTTGTTAGTTTCTTCATTCCTTATGTCCCATTAGTTGTGTTTTCTTGAGAAGCAAGAGTGATATTGTTTAAAGGTCCGATGCTCATGTCTCTCTGTCCTCAGCATCTTTAGTAGCACATGATTCTCACAGAGAAGCCAAAGCCTTACCATAACCTGACCTGGCCTTCTCAGACCTCACCATTGCCTCCACTGCACTGACTCTCAACACACTAGCTTTTCCTTTCAGCCAGTATGCCAAGCATGTTCATCTCAGGCCTTCTATATTGCTAATCCTTCTCCTGAGATGTTCTTCCCACCAGTACTCAGAAGGCTCGCTCTGACAGTTCATTCCTTTCTCTCCTTTCAGGAATGCATCTCGTCATCAAACCTTTCCCTGGTCATTCCCTTTGAAGACTCATCCCACATCCCTATATCACATCTCTCCAGTTTATTTTTCTTTCCAGAACATATCACCTGAATCACAAATTGTGCCATTTTTAAAAAATCGTATCTACTCCCTAGCATACTTGCTCCATTAGATCATGGATTCCCTTTTGCTTTCATTGCTGGACATGTAGGCACCCCTTAATATACATGTGTGATAGAATTGAAGAGGAAGATTTTAATCTGATAAGCACAGCAATATTCAGGTATGCACAGAATTCAGTGGAAGTACAGAGGAGGGAAACAGATCTACCTTGAGAGGCACAGCCCTCTCACTGCTGTTTCTAGAAGAATAGGAGAGTTGCCAGAAAAAGTGCAAGTAGAAAGAACATTCATGAGAAAATCAATGGCATGGAAAGAAACTAACAGACTAAGAGAATATGTGTGTATATACATGTATATATGTATATATGTGTGTGTATGTATATATACTTATACACCACACACACACACACACACACCAAGAAAATTAAATAGTAAGCCAAAAACTGAAAAGAGTAGGCATGGATACAAGGAAGACCATGTCTTTAGAAGCATACATGCTGCGCTGAGAAGTGAGAAAGCCCCAAATAGCTCATTACAGAGTTGAGTTGCCAGGAAATCTGTTTAAGTGGACACCAACCCAGTGACCTTCTTCCTATCTTCCCTCCTTTCTAAACTTTTTCTGATTCTCTGCCTAATATTCTGCCTCCATCCTGCTTTCCAGACAGCACATCTTAAATTTCAATTACCCATCAGTTAGCAAGAGAGCTGGCTGTGATACAGATTCCATGTGTGCATAAAGAGAAGGCTTTATGCTTCCTGGTCCCCAGAAGCAAGTCTTAATTGCCTAAACCAATTAAAATAATTCTGCATTCCATGTCAGTGAGTGGCATAGGACTTCTGGAATTCTTGCTGAGGAAATATTTCCTCTGAAAAGGATTTAAGAAGAGACCTATAGGAGAATTTCCTTTCTTTTGGAACTGTGAGATCTACATGTGGCTAGCATTAAAATAGCTTTTCATGGCCATAAGTTAACTAGTCAAAGAAGAGACCCAACATGCTGGAGGAGAAAGATGGAGGTAATTTAAGTACTTAATGACTCACCATTGAGTAGGTGGATTAACAGCCCTGGACCTACCCTACTTTGGGATTTCTTGCCATGTCCTATGAAAGCTTTTTCTTGCTACTTAAATAAAAAGGTTTAGTTGAGTCTTTTGTTGCTTATAGCTAAAAGCATCACCACTTACTTTAGAAATCTCTTTATGTCCTTTTGTCCACTAAGAGAAACAAGTACACTTGCTAGCAGTCACACTTTTCTAATGAAGCTACATATTTTAGACTCTCACAGATCTGAAAATGTTTCATTTGTTTACTTTTAATCTCTTCAGTCCCACATGTTTTTAATTAAATTTTATTTTTATATTAATTACAGTTTATTCACTTTGTATCCCAGCTGTAGCCCCCTACCTCATTCCCTCCCCACTCTTCATCCCGTATTCCCTCCCAATCTCACCCTCCTTCCCTCATCTCCTCCCATGTCCCTCTCCAAGTCCACTGATAGGAGAGGTTCTCCTCTCTTTCCATCTAACCCTTGCTTATTAGGTCTCATCAGAACTGGATGTATTGTCCTTTGTGGCCTAGGAAGACTGCTCCCCGCTCAGAGGGAGGTGGTCAAAACACCAGCCACTGAGTTCATGTCAGAGACAGTCCCTGTTCCCCTTACTAGGGAACTCACTTGGATACTAAGCTGTCATGGGCTACATCTGAACAGGGGTTCTAGGTTATATCCACATGTTTCTAGAATCCTACTCTAAACAAATGTTTCCAAGACAGTATAAAAAATTATGAGTATTCCTCCCTACCTTTGTTCATGTATTGTAGTTACTGTGTGTTTTCAGCCATGCCCATTTGACCTGAGGTCACTGGAGGTGTATTGTCTGGGGTGTGACCTTGTGTGTCACTGATTTAGGAATGTATGTCATGCTCCCCTTCAAAACTCAAGGCTTTGTGTTCTGAGTGTCATAAAGAGCTAAAAACATATGGTCCTCAGACCTGACAGAGGGAGGAGAGCATGTGGCTCAACCACTGTCAGGCAACAAAGAAGAAAAAGGAAATGTGTCACCTGTGAACTCTCAAAACAATGAGCCATGGCATTTCCACAGTGCCAGTGGTGATCACACCTTCCTGCAATTAAACTGGTGGCTCTGGATGTATTCCTATGCAATGGATGCTGGGTGTCTTAGCTCTTTGACCACCCAACACAACACTCTAGAGCCAAGCCTGAGCTGGACACGTTTTTGCTTTTGATTTTTTAAAAACAGAAACCATCACACGGGCTTTGCTGATCTCCTTCCACCAGAAGCAAGCTCATGTCTTCAGAGAAGGGTGCTGTGCTTCTACTTAATCTTAATACAGAGCTCCATAACATCTGTAATAATTAGTGTCCTTGGAAAATATTTATTTGATAATCTTAATAATAAAAGTCCATCCAGTAATGACTCATATCCAAGCTGGCCTCTCTTCACACCATATTCTCTACTATGGTGGGTGGAGTTAGTGAGTAACATGTGGATCTAGGATGTAATTTCAGATTTACAAGTAAATGTGAATTTTTTTCAATTTATGTCATACTTTTTTATTATAAAGTAGCCATCGTACCCTGCAATTACTGAGGCTTCTACAATGAAGAATTTAGGATACATGGTAGGGCCACTTATTGTGGTCTACACTTTTAAATAGTACAGGCCATGGAGGAAGATGATGTAGCCAGTCCTGATGAGACCTGATTGGCTAGGATCAGATAGAAGGTAAGAAGGTCCATCCCTATCAGTGGACTAGTGAGGGACATGGGGGAGAAGAGGGAGGATGGGTGGGACTGGAAGGAAACAAAGAGGGGGCTACAGCCAGTATACAAAAATAAATTGTAATAAATAATAATAAATTATACAAATATATAGACGATATTCTTGTTAAGTTTGTTTAATTAAGCTAAAAATTTAATGTATTTTTAAAAAATAAGTTATTGTAATCCTAGCATTCTATATAAAATAAACATTATTAGATTTTTAAAAATCTGTTTCTTTATAATCATGAGAGAAAAGCTCAAGAAAATCACACCCCTCACCCCTTGGAGCTAGACATCTTCGAACATCTTCATTTACCATTTTAGGCCTAATTCATTCTCTTTCCCTTCCACCCTCAA